TTTCTTTCATTGACTATACTTTGACAGATACATAACCTGAAAAGCATTAAATGCCAAATTTTCAAAAGACTGCGTTCCGTAAGTAGTCACGTGGTGGGACTTTGAGGTGTGGATCATAGTACCTAAATAAAGTTTTTCAGGACTTATCTGCTATTCCAGACTCGGCGAACGCCTCGTCCGGAAACACCAAAGATTTGTCATGAAAAACTTCGTTTTGGACACTTGTAACAAAAATAACTGTTTGTAAACATTTTCTATGTCATTACGAGCTCAAATTTGTCAATAAAATTTAATTTTGTATGCAAAAACTATCAATTTTGTGACGTCTTAAAAAAAGTCGATCTTTTTATTAATTATTAATTTCTGTGAAGGGGTAAGAACTAAAAGGGTACAAGTCCAAAGAAGAGAAGTAAAGCTATTAACTTTTAAAGTTTTTGCTATATACAAAAATTTGGATACTTAATTGCATTAATCAACATGCAGAATTCATACAATTTTCACGTCATGACAAAATTAAAAAAATTGGACTCTAAACTACCCAATTCTGCACATAACTTATTTTCATGCTAAAATTTACTTGTATCCTGTTGCTTCTCACTCCTTCATATAGAAAAACTAAAAATTTAATCCTCTGTATGGATACAATGTAATCTTCTTTTGCTTATTTTTAGTTATTATAGGGAAACTTTAATTAAAAAAACATCTTTTATTTCTTTGTTTGGAAAACAAGTTGTTGTTGAAACACCTTTCTAATTTTCTTTGGGCAAAGTATTTTAATAAATTCTGACTCCTAGAAAACTAAAAATAACAAAGCAAATTGCTGCTGAAAGTTGTTTGGTTTTTGTTTGATATCTACTTTTAAAAGAAAGAAAACTTTTATATTGTTTACAAGTCCACTAAATAAGTACTCTTTTCAAATATTTATTTATTTATTTATCAATTTCATAATTATTGAAACTTGCTTGTACAAACTCATTTCAAATATATATTCATTCTGCAATTTTATATATATATTAAAACTTTGGTTGTTAATTTGGCTAATATTTATTTATATTTAAGTAAATAAAGAATATGTTCGAGTGGAATTTAATTTAAATCCAAAACAAATTGTGAAACAAAGAAATTCATTCTGCAATTTTATATATATTAAAACTTTGGTTGTTAATTTGGCTAATATTTATTTATTTTTAAGTAAATAAAGAATATTTTCGAGTGGAATTTAATTTAAATCCAAAACAAATTGTGAAACAAAGAAATTTTCTAATTTACATTTGTATTTGCATGGCATTTAACAAGTCCCAATTAATTTTTACACTTTTTAGTAGGATTAAAATTTAATAATTCAATTTAAATTTGAACCTCAACACCAGGGGCCACTTCCGTTGTTTTGTCTTTAGTCCCCAATTATGGGGTATTCAGTTTGGCACGTATATAATTAAATTTTAAAGTTGGAGATAAGAAAGAAGTTGTAAAACTTAATTGGTGAAGGTTTTTTTCCCTATAAAAACTTTCATATTGACCGTTGGGTCTTGCAAAGGCACGTATTCGTCTAACGGTCGAGAATAATGGAATTTTTAAAATATCATATTCGAATCAAGATATCGAAATAGGCTTTGAAAGAAACGCAAATACATTTTTATGCCTTTCTTGATTTAAATCTGACGACAAAATCATATCATTCAATACATTAAATAAAAGCATACAACACAGGGTTTTATTCGAAGTATAAAAATACATCATTTTTCCTAACTAGAAGTAGTAGTAAAATTATTGTTTTATTTATATAAATGATAAAAATAATAAAGGGATAAAAGAGGATTCAAAAGTAAAAATTTAAAATTTGTTAATAATAACAAAGTTATAGATATTTAAGTTTAAATTTTTTTTTACCAACTGGTAGAAAAAACATTTATTAACCATGCAGATATATGGTAATATTGTGCGACTACTGGAAGAAAGAGGAGATTCCTCGAACGTGGAGTTTGCCGCCCGAGCGTAGCGAGTGAGGTTACACGTGAGTGGAATCTCTTCTTTTAACCAATAGTCGCACACAATATTTTATTTAACAACCACAAACAATTTAAAGCCAATTTTATTTGATATTTTATCTAGCATTTGGCAGCTGTCAATTAGTTTTAACTTTACTTTTTACTAAATTTAACTTTAGCCCATGGGAAGTAAAATTTCACCCTACGGTTAAAGTTAAGAAATAAAATGAGAGTTAAATAAAGTACATATACGTATAGGAGTATAGCGTGTTTCATATATAAGTACCATAAATTTGAGGGTAAACACACATTGATGAAATTTGAAGAAAAACTATATAAACTTTTTCCCTAGGTCACACAGTCCCACCGTCACAGCATACGCACATAACAACTCAATATCATAATTTGACTTAACTGCGTAATTCCAGAGGCTTAAGCCGTAAACATTATCGCAAATTTTATTTTGCATTCTATTTTTTAAATATCCTTTAAATTTTATCGCTTGGAAAGAAAATGAGTGCAGCTGTCAAATTCAGTGTTAAAAATAAGTAATAAAAACCTGTTTAAGGATCAATATTATAAAAAATATGATATTTTACAGTAACATAGAGTATGCAGATATGCACTTATTTTTGGGGAGTGTCAAGGAAATTTAGCAATAGAAGTAAGGCTTTATACAGAAAAAATGCCTTCATAAAAGATTTAAAACTTAAGAACGTTTATTGTGGTGGACCATAAAGGCATGCCTTAGAGTGAGTGGATCGTTTAAACCTGCTGCCTCGACGAACATTTGTAATGACAGCCGGACATGAAGAAATTATTTTAAATTTCTTAGAAATCCAGACGTCAATTTGGCGAACACTAAAAATTGGGTTTAAACCATGATTTTTGAGTCATATCTATGGTTTGAACCCATATAACAAACAAAAGGTACATACATTATTACCAACCTACTTTGAACCTTGTGTTGATTTCTGTCATTGGTATGTGCAGAAGTGTCAAAAAGACAACTTTCGAAAATGTTATTTACAGATGAAGCGTGTTTTACACGAACTGGTATTTTCAATGTACATAACTCACATGTTTGGCAAAATGAGAACCCCCCATGCTATACATATAACGAATATGTCCAATATCCGTTTAAAATAAATGTTTGGGAACCTATAGTAGGAAGATATTTTATAGGGCCCTATTTTATACCAAAATATTTAAACAGTTACATTTGGACTTCATCGAAAACCACCAACCAAAGTTTTAAACGATATTCCTGTATTAACACGACATGTCGTGTTTTATAATCTGTGGTCGTGTTAATACAATGTATTAACATGTCATGTCGCGACAGCGCGCTGAACACACGCTGCAGCGTGTGTTTATGTGAGACGGAGCACCACCTCACCAGTAAAATGACCGCCAGATTTAAACCCCATGGAATATGGCATTAGGGGTATTTTAAAACAAAAAGTGTCCAAAATGTCCAAATTATTACTCTTGAGTAGCTTACTAAAAGAATATTGGCTTCAAGCAACGAGTTTTTCTTTGCTAGTCATACATTACAGAACATTTTTTTTAATAAGAAATGCATAAAAGTATATTCAGTAAAATTTGTATCTAGTTAAATAGCTTTTTTATTAAAATTAATACTGATTTTTTTTTTAATTCATTTATTAACCCAAATCAATTAAATGGGTAGGTATCTAATAATCCAGTTAATTAGGATAGATAATAAAATAAATAACTTTTATCAATGTTTTCATCAAGTCCATTTACCTCAAATTTTTGGTACCCATTTCTAAAACACCCTTTATAAAAGTTAAATTCTAAAATGCAATAGAATTAAAAATTTAGTTATAATAAGAATGCTGAGGGGCGAACATTTTTTTTATGAAAGTATTGGGTAGGTGTTAAAAGTTGTCTACCAATATAAAATAAAGTTTTTGTAAAGCTTGTTGACCTAAAATAATATTTAGTCATGTCTGTAGGCCCTGAACGGCTAGGGAAGATCAGTAAAAAAATTGTTCTAATTTTTAGTAAGGTAGTGTGCATACAAAAAATGTAATGTTTTAATTAATATCTAGTCGGACCCCTGGAGAGTAAACGGGGGTATTTTTTTATTTATTAGGGGTAAATAGATAATATTTTAACTAAATTTTTTTACAAGTAATGATGAAAGTAATTAAATATTAATTTCGAAGATTTAACGGCGCCTCTATTACTATAACTATTAAATACGATAATTATTACTACTCCTGCCCAATTTATTAAATTTTAAATGTCATGGTCAAATAGGACTTTGCCCGAGCAATGGCGCTACCTGTTCATGATTTTTGTTTGTGTATATAGAATTGAAAAAATCATCATATGCACACGTATTTTATGGATAACGGCGGTTTATTTGTAAATTATACAGCTGCAATTACAGTGGTTCTTTGATATTATTAATGATTAAAGTAATTACACATACACAAACAAAAATCATGAACAGGTAGCGCCCTGGCTCAGGGACTTTCCAAAAGATTTTTTCGAATCTTATCAACGTATATAAAACTTATATTTTTAAATATACATGTATGCAAAATTGTAACAATTTTTACTTATATATTGTTTTCCCTGCAAAACTTTTTATATATCGAATGAAATAACTATGGAACACATGGCGCCTTATAAGGATCACTATGTAACCATACAAAAAATAATAAATCAAAATCGAGTACTAAACCAAGAAAAGTTTTTCAGTTTTTACTTGCAACGCAAAACACAAATAACGTGTGCGGTTAAGCTGTGCAATTTCAACTTTGCGAACGAAATTTGTCTATTCTTTGAAAAAAATCTTTATTTTTTTAAAAATGATGTGCAGTTCGTACGCTTTGAATGTATTTTAACTAACTTGCTCTTCAGTTATGATATCGAGCGCCACCACAAAAATTGAAAAACTCGTTAAATTCAGTTTAAATGTTAAATTGCGTAATTTTTAACTAAACAAATATCTTAATTGTTAAATTCTTGTTTCAGGTTTCCAGCAGCACAGGATTGATATCCCACTTCGTAAACTTGCAGATAGTGGTACCGGAAGCTACAATACAAGGGAGCAGATCCGGCGAACACCACGTCGATATCGGCAGCATTATCGATCTGGTCTGCGTCATAGAAAAGGTAAGACAAAGAAACTTCCAAACGGTGAAAAAGTTTCCAGGCATATAAGTTATCAAAAGCATAGATTCCACAGACACATGGCCATAATAAATATGGATATAGTCCACCGGTGTTTGAAAAAGCGAAAAGTGCTATTCGTTTGCATAAATAAAATAATACGAAACACACGACGCGTCGCGACGGTGGAATCCTTAATGTACAATTCTGGTTGTTTGATGTTGGTCTTTTCGCTTATTTTACTCTTTCTGCAGAAAACTGCAGGATATAAACTTTAAAATATATGGGCCAACTAAACCTTAAATGATATAGTCGCAAGTAGGCATGACACATAATTTCTATTAATGCAGACCTTTAAATTGTTTTGGAAATAGGCTATTTAAAATAAACTTATATTTTAAATTTATATCCAGTAAAATGTATTATCTACATAGTATTAAGGTACGTAAATAGAGATTATGGCACAGAAACATAAAAATCAACAGATACAAAATTTTATAGGGCTAGTAATTAGTTGTTAGGCGCCAGGGATTACCCGATTTTTTTATTTATTGTGATTAGGACAATCGGGCTTAGGATAAACTTTTTTGCCTCGTATCCGATCATAAAATTCGATATCTGTTAGATGGTTCTAACCTCACTTTCTACTTGTAATATTAGTGCATTTTATGTATCGTTTACAAAAAACTTACTTCTTGTCCTAATGACATAAATAACTATTATCTTCAAGCGTTGTATAATTAAAACTTTTTTATTGTCAACCCTTACTACTAAAATAAGACCAACGAAGTAATTTTGTTTACCTTCTATCTGTAAAAAACCGTTTAAACCAATAAATAAGTTCGACTATTGTGTAAAAACATTGTATTTCATTCGGCTAAGAAAAGTATTTTTGTGCTTCCCTCATTCGTAACTTGAAACATGACATAAATAACTATTTCATCAATTATGCGTAAGGAAAACGAAGGTGTTTTATCGTTTTACATGTTATATGTACATTTTTACAATGCGTTGATAAAATATACCGACATTTTAAAAGCAACATAGTGTGTTTTTTTTTTTTAATTAAAAAAAGTTTGGTTACCAATTTTGTATTAAAAGATTTATTTTTAAGATCAACTTTAATATTTTTTTTTATTACCGCCCTCGATAGTGTGGAAGTCAGTGCAGCCGAGTGGTCATGGGTTCGAGTCCCACATGGGTATGGCTGTTTATTTGTGTTTGTCCAGGGTTAAGTAGTAGAACAGCTAATCCTGAACCTAACCCTTTAATCATTGACTAATAAAGACTAACAAATAAATAAAATTAAATAATATTCGGGAGGTCGTGGGTTCGAATCCCACCAGGGGTATGGCTGTTTATTTGTGTTTGTCCTATTGTTTAATAGTCCTTCGGAGGGGACTTTAAGCCCGCGGTCCGTTCCTACCCCTAACCCGCTCAAGCCATTCAGTTGGCTTCTGGGACTTCTTAGGAAGTAAGGGTGGAACTAAAAGAGCACTTTTGTATATAAACTTTTGTATACGAGAGATAATGCAGGCTATTATTCACAAGGATGAGGTTTGGGCCTCGAACCGTCAGGCGAGAGATGTAAATCATTCGAGTGAATAATGCCCATTATTTCAAATGTAATACTATGCTTTTTCTACTCCAATTAAGTTATTTTCATTAATATTAAAATGTATTATAACCTCACTTTCTCCCGATTTTAAAGATCTATAGTCGCCCCTCGTATATATAAAAAATCTAAAATCTGTTAACCATACTTTTTTCCAATTTAAAACCTGATTAGTTTAAATAACACTGAATATTGAAATCAGCCAATCACTGATGCCTAACAACGTGAATATTGAGTTCATTATTCACGTTGTTTGGCAGGGCAGTTATATTGGTTACCATTATTTACGGAAAAACACAAATAATGTCAATAGGAGTAGAAATACATTTATAAATGTATACAAAAATTTAATTAATTTATATTTGTATAGATATTTTTAAACGGTCTTAAGTTAATTTTACTTATTTTGTCATTTTCTATAAAATGTTTGCCATTATACTTAAGTGCGGTTAGAAGTTTCAAATATGTTGTTTATTCAGTAAAAAGATAAAGGTGAAAATTAGGTAACAATCGATAAGTTCCTATTTTTTTTATATGGTGATTATAATGGTGCTGTTTAAAAAAGAACAGCCTTTGAATGGTTTGCCCTTTTTGTTTATTATCAAATAGTTTTAAAACTTTTGCAGAGAAACTACATATTTTAGTGTTACATTGAAGTTTAGCTTGATTTATAACATAATTTAATAATAAAAATAAATATACCTAATCAAAAATTGAAAAAGCTGAAAAGCATCCTGAGAATCATTCATAGCCCAATTTTGTTTTTCTATTACACATTTTTAAGTAAAATATTTATATTTTCCGACATTTCTGTAAAAGCAATGACGTCGACCATTTTTAGATTTTATATAATAGATTATGAAATTCTCATTTTAGTAATATGCATATGTAAACCTTTTGGGCTGATATATCATACCTATAGTTTTTAATGATGTTTCGACAAAACTAAACAACAAACTTAAAATTACAAATTTACAAATTAGTTTTCCATTTAGAATATAAAAAAACTAAATAATAATAATAATAATACTTTATTGTCCAACAGTACAAATAAAGAACAATACACAGGATGATGAATTTTCATTCAAAGCGTTTCTTCTTAGCTTCTCTATTTTCATTTAAATGCTCTTCACTTTAATCGGAATCGTCATTGTTCCAAGAAGAATTTAAAATTAAGTCATTTTTATCATCCTCAACATTTTTTCCATTTCATTCACCTTTCTGTCGTGGTCTTCTTAGAATTTATGGTACGACCACCATCATATATCTGCGATCATGGCGTATTTCTTCCCCTATCATCGGCTTAGCAACTTCGTAAAATTGTTCGCCATGCACGTCGCTTTCAGATGTAAATTATTTCTTAAAAAAGTCCAGGTGCTTGTGGAGAAAATGGGTCCTCAAAGACATATTCACTCCTGAAAAATATTTATTTGAAATTTTTATTTTGTCATCAAAATTATCTGAAATCGAATAACGAATTTGATTGTCTTTATCATCTAACCAACTGTTTCATATGCTTTCAACAACAGGGCCGGCGTTAGCTTATTAGAGGCCAGGTGCAAAAGAAAAATGCGGGGCTTGAACTAAAAATTTACTCTTGAAAATTAACATAGTGCTTAGCGGCAATAAACCAATAAAACATCAAACGAAAAAGCAATTGAAGGGGTTAGAGCTGAAACCGCCCAAGTGCATTTTTAAGTCAAAATTTTTTAAGCTTGTTACCGGATAGTAGAAAATTTTGACTTAAAAATGCACTTGGGTGGTTTAGCTTTTCCCTTTAATTAATATAGGTATTAACGTTTAAGAAAAAATCACACATAATTTTTCCCTGCTTTAGCTAAAGCTCTTTTCCAACATCCTTCTCTATTGACAATATAGCCAAACCCACTATTCGTTCTTGGCCCATACTTTCTCGAACTTAAATATTTTTTTATAAATTTTAATTTTGAAAAACTCTTTTTCCGGAGTAATAATAATTGTTTTAAACGGATCCAGGCAACTTCAAATACTCATTTAGCAACATTGGACTGAATAATAATAGATGACGATACCTACTAAAGATATTATCTCTGGCAATGACCAGATATTATTTTTTCACGCTGTGCTTACAGCTTGCCATGTTGCTAAAATGTACAATAATTTCGTTAAGACGCCTTTATGCGCGCGGGGCCTATAAAACGCGGGGCCGGGTGTAACCGCACCGTTTGCACATGCCTCACGCCGGGACTGTTGAACAATTCGTTTACATCCTCTTGATAATTATCAGATCTGTGATTCCCCAAAAAATTCTGAATCACACTCTTGGTCGCGGTCTACGCCTTCAACTCCGCTTTGGTTAAAGAATTATAATTATCGAACATATCGGCAAGTTTTCAAATGTCTGGGCCATTTAAAACTCCTGAAAATAATGATCCGTTACAATCTGTAGTGAAATTAAAAGAAAGTAGGTGAAATAGTGCTTCCACTATTTTTGAAATGTAGAACAAAGGTCCACAGCTGAGAAAAATATATTATTTAAAAATAAATTTATTTCTTTACCTTCTTTTAGCTTAGAATCGCTTAGTTTTGGAGCATTGAAGCATTTCTGACCTTCGCTTGACAATCACTTTAATGAGATTGTTCACTATTCCCAATTTAACATGCAAAGGAGGCAATAAAAAATTACGCTGAGGAATGAGTGGGCGACAAATTTGGTTATGCCTTGCAATCCCACTAGATTGGTCGCTCATCATGTAGTTTATAGGCTCCCAGCCCTGTTTTGATTATTAGTTCCCTTTGTACCGAGTGTCCCAAAGACAGAGAAAGCACATGTGTTTCCCTGTAATCCGCATAGTGTTGATACAACTTTAAGGTCGCAGGTTTTTTTCCATCGATGTTCATCGTACTTGATCGTTTCCAAAATAGTCTTAAACGATTCGTACGATTTCTTCATAGCGGTGCTGTAGGCGATAGGAATCGCAAGTTTCTTATTTAATTTGTGCTTAAGAACCACTTTCAAACTTGGCGTCGATGAATTCATGAACAAAAGCTAATCAGTGCTGTTGTATTGAATATCCATTGTTTCCATTAACTTCTCAATGTTATGATAATGTATTTTCGTCATTTACCGTGTACTTGGTGTTTTTGAAAATACTCTTGCCGTTTGCGATAACTGGTGACTTTCACGCCAAAAGCCAAGTTGTTGCTTTGTTTTAAAAGGCTGCAAGTTGCTCTGATCCTCGTTGCAATAAATTTAAAACTGCTCCCATTTTATCCAATAGTTCCTGCGAAACTGGAATTGAATCCTTTGACGAAGATGGTTCTGGTTCAAAGTCATTATGATCATTGGTTGCGACAGATACTGTATACACGGAGTGGGCTTTTCCTGGGTTCTTGAAAAACGTGTTGT